CACCACCACTAAGCATATTTTGTTATTAAAGACAGGTTCTTCTCTAGACATGCATTTTGATTCAGTAAAATCAGCAGCAAACTGCCTAACGATTCATACATAACGTTGGTGGAAGGAACGCGGAGTAGTGCATATTGTTTTGTTATACTATACATTTATCGTTCTAATATATACATTTTTTTTGTTAATTACTTGCTTGCAAAATGGGAAAATTTTTGATAAAATGTTTGCTTGCAAAATGGGAAATGTAGAAAGTGTGAAAACAGTAATTTGCTTGCAAAATGGGAAGCAACCAAGTTAGAACATCCAACGCGGCCAAATTCTTGTGATATGTACTATCATTACATCGACTAAGTGTGCATCAGAGATTAGAAACTCATTTTCTGTTGCAATTTTGGTTATTGAATTCCATGGCGAAAAGCTTTTGACGAAAAAAGTTATTTACAGAATACTCTACCGGTAATAAACTACATTTACGCTACTTTCCGGTCAAAACTACCAATGGTGCAGAGCTTGTAGTGGTGAAAGAAACTTTAGTAGAACTTTCAATTGGATCTCAAATGAAAGATGTCGACGAGATCTACAAAATTAGCTTAAAAAATTTTATGTCCCATATACCTAAGAGAAGCTAGAGATTTCTGGAAAACCAACTAAAGTTCACAGGCACTATGGTAATTTTTCTAAGATTTTCAGTCGATGGCCCGCCGAATTCTGAGCAAAATAAGACGCTTCCCAAGATTTAATGACTTTTTATTGAAGGTAAAATGAGCAAAATACAGAGAAAGGTTTGTACACAGACGAGTTTCCAGCTTTATTTGAGTATTTGATACCTCTTTTTGTATTTTCGTTCCTTTCACTTGGTTATAAATCCTAGAGCGTCGGAAAAGGTCTCATTTTGCGCAGAATCCGAAGAACTGTCGATTGGTAGTATCGGAAAGCTTCCACAGTTTCTGAGAAACTTTCCAAGTTTTCTGGAAAAACAAGGTTTTTCAAAAACTTCTAGGTTCTTTCTTTCTCACAGACCTGTTCTACACAAATTGCAAATCTCGCCGATATGAAGCTTCTCCGAAAGTTCCGTTGGCGGCTGTAAACTCCAAAATGTACACAGTTTTTGCTGGAAAGGTATTTGGTGTATAACTTCTTTTTATGAGTGAGGTAGCGAGTTCGGGTTTTCACCATTGGATTTAGCCTTTGAAACTGCCATAGATAATCTATTTTTATCGCTTCCACACATACGTTTGTAGAACCTGGTATGTTTCTTGTAGAATTACTCATGCACATTTACATTCTACTCTGTGCAGCAGCTATCTTGACTGTAACACAGTCAACACCAATTGTTGTTACACGTGACAATGTTGAAGATGAAGGTATTACCAGACAAACAAATGTCACTCATGTTCAGAACCGTGCTGATTTTGTTGCTGTGAAGGCACTTAGATCAAAGCGGCAAGGGGGTAACTTACACTTTCCAATCGGGCAGGTCGGTGGTGGCCAAGTAGGTGGTTTTGTTAGTGTGGGTGGGAATGGCATCCCTAACGGTGGTGGAATGACTTATTCTGTGCCGTAAGTTAATCACAAGTAACGTGCGTCGCTACGACTCGCTTAACCCTCGACTGAAATATGCTTAGTGGTGGTCAACATTCCTTGAAGAACATTCCTAGAAGTTCGAACAATTAATCTGGATGTTAAACAGATGAAATTAGTTTTTTCGGATACCGCTGGGCAAGAAAACTTTCGATCGCTGGTTAATAATTATTTTCGAGAATTTTTCATTCTTTTCTGTGACATATACGGACTTAACTAATCTGTGAACGAGATCTCAAAAGAAAACTTGTCCAAAAATCCGATAGTGTAACATTGTGACTAGCGAAAATGAGACCTATTTAGATAAGGGAATAGAGAGCTGAATTTGCTGTGTACACCTGAATTTACTACCTGCTGATAATGCCAAGACGAGAATAGAGGATTACCTTTCCAAGAGAACCTTTAGCGATATAGCAGTACTCAATGCACCTGTTCCTATTTTCATGATGTTCCCACGTCAGCTCTTCATCTCGCCGAGCTGAGTTGAAAGGCTAACGTTTCTCTGTATTGAAGTCTACGGCAACATCTCAAAATACTTTAGTCTGATTTATCACCAAGAGAGCCTCTGGCATCACAGTCGCTAGTCAACTTATTCCGCAATTCACTAGACAACAATTCCGAAGCGATGATATGCTACCGAAGACTCTACTCGGATGCTGTTCAATGCGTCTTATGTTGGCTTTTCCTGTCGGTATAGCTGTACAGTGGCATTGCGCGTCGTCTATAACTATCTTCAACTCCTTTTCCATAGTGATCATTTTTCAAACATACACGCATCTTGCCTGATCGCTTTCGCCTGACCGCCATTCCATACAAATATGGAAGACATCTTTCAACGTGCAATGGTAGTTCAGAATGTGCGTTTGCTTGAGAGAAAAATATTCCCTATAGATTCACGACGTCTAGGTCAGCGACTAGTAGATTCTCGGAAAAGCTTGTTCCCGTCGAGCTCGATTTCCATTGATTTCCCGTCGATCAATGGGCTTTCAAGGTAAACGGACCTCAGATTCGAGTTCCCCACATCGAATAACCGCTCGTACCATCGTTACGCCTCACACTTAGTGTTCTTGCCGGTAACAGAAGCGCGTATTATTTTATAAACGACAAAGGTTATTCTTCTATCCCTTGCAGCTAACTTGACTTAAATTTCAGGATTCGTGATGGGTGTCTGTATGGTGACGACTTTGTTTTGTTACAAGATGGTTCTCGAAAACAGTTGAAAAATCTACGTAGCGGTGATAAAGTCTATTCAGTTGACAAGCAAGGTAAAGTGGTCAAAGATGAAATTATTATGATGCTACACGGAGGACCAAAATTTGAAGGTGAGTGATGATTTGAAAGCGAGACCAGCAGCAAAAGTAGCGTAATTCTTTTTGCATTCACCATTAGCTCCATTTTATACGTTAACTACCTCGTCGAACCGAACTATTAGTCTAACTGGTCATCATCTAATTATGAAGTATAGTCCTGAAGAAAAACATTCGCGGATGGTTGCTGCAAATGAATTGAAAGTTGGGGATTATCTACTGATTGGTGACAACCGGCAAACAGAACCGGTTCCGATTATGTCGATTGAACTTCTATACAAAACTGGTATCTACACTCCAATGACATACACAGGAACACTTCTTATCAATGATGTTGCTGTTTCATGCTACGTCAAGTATTTTAACAAATACAATGAATTACACACACTGCTCTACCCATTTCGATTCTACTACTATTTAATGAAAGATATCCTTGGAGTCAGTGAAGAACCATTTTCAGTCGTTCCAAGTCTTGTCTATGCTGATGATCAATTCTATGGAACAAGAATGATTAGTTGGTTACATCAATCGAAAAATATGGTTCGATATGTCGGACAAGATTTATTAATCGGTACATTTTTAAGTATTTAAAAAGTGTACGGCGGTTATAAACACTGACTCATAAAGAATAAATTATCTTTTTAATTTCAAAGTGTTGATTTGTTCCCTTTTAGTAACGCAGATGTGTTTTAATGAAAATTGATTTAAAGAAATTCAAAAATAAATTAAGAACAACTCTTGAGCTACTACAATGCGTTTCGATCTTCCTCAAAGATTTCATCAGAGGGTGAGTCAAAGCACACCATTATCGCGATTTCGACCTTGCTGAAGGGTCTCATCAGACGGCTTTAGATCAGAGTTGTAACCGGTCTGGAAATACTAGACCGGTCCGGTCCGGCCGGTTTAAATTTTAGACCGGTCCGGTCCGGCCAGTCACCGGCCGATCTCAAAGTATTTCCAGACCGGTAAAAACCGGCGAGTTCATCAAGTTTTTTCAAGTAATAACATTGATATTAGGGACAAAATTTTGTTCTGAATACCTACAGATTTTTACGCCTGTGTTTTCTGTAATGCT